AGGCTGTTTAGTTTCAGACAAAAACTTTCCAAGCAGTGTATATGATGGGTGTTCAAAACATTTCAAAGCCAAATGCCTCCTTTCGAATTCAAATTACCACACTACGCATGCAGATCAGTCCGCTTTGAACTAAGCAGACTTCAGGGTTGGCTCATCATTAATGGAAATGTCCCTATTATAGAGAGAGAAGAGATGAAAGGGTTATCACAAAAAAAAAAAAAACCAGGAAGGCAAACAGAATCCAGTGCTGAAAAGCAGTTGATATGAGCAAGAGTCACTAACTGGTTTTGACCAGTAAAGGAAGTGGTGCAGAGGTTATATTAAAAAAAATGGATGTCATAATCTTTCCATGATGTCCCAGAATAAATAACAAATGCATGAGGTAGAACTAGAAAAGGTGAAGTATAAAATATTGAATAAACTGGAGGACGGTGATAGTGGAATAGGATCTTCCCTAATCTACATTCTGGGCTTAAACACGTCAACCTGTTTGCTAATCACTATTGTGGTATCATATCACCAAAAACTTCAACGATCTGAAAGCATGAAAAATGTTAATTAATGGCAACAAAATAGATATTATTGGAGGGTCTATTTTCTGGTTAAGGCTCCTGATGGTTATCATGCCTTCCAAAAAGCATTGGCCGCTCTTCATGAAGGAAAATTCTGCTTCTAAACACAGCAGACGTCTCGCTTTTTCCTTTGGTTGTTCCATTTCTGAGGAGGGGGATAAACGGATGCTCCATCATCCACATTTTATGCCGCTGATTTTTTTTTTTTCTTGTCCAGGTCAAACTCCCCCAGAGGCATTTATATCCATCAGCCCCAGTGGGATGGTGGCTCTTGGGGAAGAGGTCACCATCTTCTGCAGAAGTGAGGAGGAATTTCATGGAGACTTCTATCTCACCAGACATGAAACCTCATCTGATGGAGGGAAAACTGTAGCTACCAAGCAGGCAGAATCCAACAAGGCTGCATTTTCCTTGACCAATCTCAACCCATCAGATGGAGGCATCTACAGCTGTAGATCCCACCTGCGTGAAGACTATCAGTTCTCATCTCTCAGTGAGAAAGTCTATCTCAATCTAACAGGTGAGGTCTGCTCACTACTTGTTTCTTTTTCACACCAATGACACTGGAAAGAGTTCCACAGTTTTGCACCAGCCAAATATTTCCTTCCCCTGCCAGAAAAGCTCATGGGTAACTGGGCAAATTGCTCTCTATCAACCAACGTACTTATTGTTGGAGGAAATAAAAGGAGGAGGGAGCACTCTGCACACCACCCAGAGCACCTCTAAGAGAGGTGGGAAATAAGCCTTTCTAAGGCATGAATAAAAAACCACGTTGCTTTGACTAAAGCATCCATGCATTTTGCAATCTAGATTAAAATATGTTCTTTTTCTTGCCCTGGTGTGAATTATCTTCTTTCACAATCCTTGAAAGGCCAGATCCATATCTCTGTTGGACATCCGTGGGGGGTGGACAAAGAGGAGCAACTGATTATGTTCATGATTAGGTCAAAATGCAAATGTGATAATTTACATATTTACATCAGATGTTGTGATATCATGACCTAGATCTTCCATTCGTATAAAGACATCCTAACAGCTGCATCATCATTTTAACACCCTTTTGCTTTTACAGATGCCATTCATCTCTGTGAGCTAAAATTGTTTAGTATATCTCTGTGAAGACACAGAATGCAATCTATGGGAAATTTGGGATCTGGGATAGGATGATGGGGCCAGGGGAGACAATACAACAAGCTTTCTCATCAGCATTTGAGAAACAAGTATCTGAGAATGGAGAAGAGGATCCTTCTCTTGCAAAAAGATTGAAAATGGGAGGCGGAAGGGATGTTATTCATGGCTGAATCAGCAGGAGATATTTACCAACAAGGATCTCTGATTTTCACTGAATCCTTCCTCCTCCTAGATCCCAGCCTGACCAAGCCTTCCATCCAGATTAAAAATCAAGAAGAAAAGAGTCCAGAAGCAAAAATCTCCATACGGTGCAAGGGGACAAAAGACCTGGCTTTTGCTCTTCTGAAATCAAGGGAGCAGATAGCTTACAAGGCTGCAGAGCCATACAAAAAGGCAGTGGATTTTCTTCTCCACCAGAGGAGGTTGGAAGAGGCACAAAGTTATACCTGCCAGTACCACCACAAAAGCAGCCCCTTTGTCTGGTCAGAGCCCAGTGACCCGCTGGAGCTGCCTTGGGAAGGTATGATAGCAAACTCAGCATATTTCCTTTTCTTCATTCCCCCCATCAAAGTATCAGAGACGGACTGGATTTCTTGAAGACTTGGAACCAGGGCAGATCTCCTAGTAGAGGGTATCAGATAGGTTGCTGGTCATATAAATTAGGGCAGGAGTAGGTGACCTTCCTTGGGTCCGGGTCTACCTTGGGTCCTTTGAAATGTTTTGTGGAGGCAACCAAGTAAAGGCAGAGAAAGAAAAACATTGGCATGCAGGCTGACAGGTAGTTTCCCCTTTTTCGGTAGGCTATAGCGATAACATTAATCACCATAAGGGACTGAGAAGGAGGCAGAGATGCAGAAGGGTGTATAGACACATACTGCAATAGAGACCCGAGGCTTATCTGCACTCCCAGATTGTTCCACCACCAGTTTATAACAGATCATAACAATTGTACATATTGTAGGATATTGCTCAAATAGTGAGTCCTGGCAACGGTTGTCTGGCTTAAGCATAAAACAAGGAGATTTGGATGATAATATTTTAAAGTTATCCTTTGAGAGCAACTGCTCAAATTATTTGCCAACGACAAGGAAATACTCTAAGAGAAACAAGGAAGGGATGGTGGTGTTAGCAGTGTACGTATTCCTTGTGGGCACATGGATGTATGTCCAAACAAAATATTGGTTTTCAGTCACTCATTCTTTGTTAACAGTGCTTCTTGGGCCTATGTGGTGGTCCAAAGATATTCTGGGAATCAACCATATTGCTGGAGAATGTTGCTTTCTTTTGCTGTATTGGACATAGAGCCTTCCTAGCCCCAGGACAGTTATTTATGGTCACTTTCCACTGTATTGAGATCTTACAGAAAATAGGACAGAAAGGGAAAATAAGTTAAACACATCTGAGGTTATAGATGTTTTGGCAGATTTGAGGGCGGTAGGGATCATATTTCTGCATATATGTGGCCCCTGTTTTTCTTACTTAAATGTATTACATGGATTTTCAACATTCGTAATGATAACTTTGCATATCCATTTCCTACCATCTTCTGACTTGGATTGCCCCCTACACTTTGGTGTTCTCTTGATCTTTGCAACAAATTCTTATGGCTGTCATCTGAACTGGTTGGGTTCCAATAGACGTGAATATGTGTAGCTCAGGATTGAACTGTGGAGTCCTTGGGGTTCTCTGAGCTTGGTTGTTTTCCTTGCAAACGTTTCATTACCCAGCTAGGTAATGAACATCTTCAGTGCTAGGTGAAGCTAGCTTCAGAAGCTAGCTGAAGATGTTACCTAGCTGGGTAATGAAACATTTGCAAGAAAACAACCAAGCTCAGAGA